CATTAATTGTTATCATACAAAAGGAATTAATATGATGGAAGAACATTAACTCACTGTCTGTATCACTTAACTAATGCCTAATCTATATGGAACTTATTTTGAAATGATTCGAATTTTATTTCGTAAACCATGAATACTTAGTAATTTAGTGATATTTATCTCTTTTTTTTTAATCATATTATTTCTAAAAGACAATTCAATATAAAACTTGGTTACTATCTTAACAACTAACAAGTTTTAAATACATAAAATATATTCCTTTATGATGTTTCTTCATCTTTGCTCTTTTTTTTTCTTCTTACAATATTTTTCTGGTTGCTATAAAAATTGGTTAAGTGTGTTATTTTAGAATTTCTTTATCAGAAATTTATGTTTCAAAAAATAAAACCTTACTAAAGTGAGTCATGAAATATAGATAATATTGATTTTAATTGTTAACAATTTGGCAGGTGACGCAAGTACTAAATCCGTGTTTTACAAGTGACTATACACATAATTATGATAAGCATTAGTTGAACTAACGGTCATAGAAGTCAAAGAAAAGTAATACAATACAAGAAAGTACATCTACAAAAAGCATTAAGTAAATAAATTTAAGAACTAGTAACTTATTATAATCTCTTTTTTAAATTTTTTTATAGAAAACATTATAGAATACAAAATTATAATTATGAATTTTATGTAACTCCATAGAAAGATAACATTTCTATGGAAACTCATAGGTTTATCCATTTTTCAAACAGATAAGAATATCATTAAACGTTACTGTAATATAAATTAAATTTCCTTGACATCATCATTTCGTTTGCTAAAAGTTTTGACTAAATCATTTTATTATATCTTGTAAACAGACTACTAAGTAATCTATACTTGAATAACAGCTAACGTAGTTACTTAAATTTACTGTAATATAAATTACTTTTGTCAAAGTTAATATACCCTGTGAAAATTATTGGTAATAAGATTTACAAATATCAGTCTGTGAATATTTCAACCAGATAACTAATATAATTGTTGTATGACTAGTAATATGAAGAATTTGTTCATCCTTTTAGATTATCATCGATATAACTGAAAATGCTAAACAAATAGAATAATGAAAACAAATTTTATATGGAACTATAATAACGGAATGTCCAACAGTTAAAACAAAGCAGTTGTCAAGATCGATTCAGACTACATTGTCTTACATTCACTTGAGAGACCGTTATTAGTATGTAATTAATTGATCACAACATTCAAAATATAAAACAATGATCTCATATAATTGTTCAGCTACTTTTCATGATAAGCTTAAAGCTTAATTCTTTTCATTTTACCATGGTTTATCAGAGCAAAGTCTCATGATAATAAGAATACGAGAGGCATGTAGTTCCATTATTGATGAAATAGAAAAAACATCCGGATATGATTGTTAGGGTGACCTGTGTTAGTCCACGATAAAAAACAAAACAATAAAGTCATGAACGAATATAGTTCTGTTTTAAAACTTTACAATCCTACTGACTCATATCCTCCTTTGAAATAGAATCTAAGCAAATCATTTTATATGAAAAGTGCATTAAACAATAAATTATCGACACTCATTACAACAGTTCGTTTGTTATTGTTTCGTATCATCTGTATGAAAAGCACTCAAAAGACCTTGTTCTATTTTAAAATGAATTAAATTCCCAATAAAAGCTAAATTTGAGTTTCTCTGATCATGCAGTTCTAAGATCAGAGAGTTAACTTTGTGCGAAATAATTAGATACTTTATGTTTATTCAAAAATCATTTTTCCATCTGTTGAATTCCAATGAATAATCGGTTTCTGTAAGTTTTAAAAATTGTGCAGAAATACTTAACTTACTGATGAATTTTCAGCTAGTTCATCTAGGTGATAGTTTAGGGTCTTTATTAATTGAAAATTTTCCTTATCACAGACCTAAGTCAGCTAGAAAGACGTCTAACTGGGTGGTAGTGGTATTAGTAGTGATGTGATTTCATTACGGTGATAATTGGATCCAGGACCTTCATTTTTTAAGATTAAAACGTTCATATTCATCAGTTCATTGATGCAAAATCCAGTATTAAATACACTACTTACATTCATTACAAGATACAAAGTAATCACCATCAAATATCATCAATGGATAATGGCATTATTACTTAGTTTGGTAGACCCCTCATATTAGGTCACAGAATAATGTCACTTGTAAAAATACTCACAAACAGGGAGTTCTGAAAACTGTTTCGTCATCTTCACTGTGCATTTTCATCCAAAAACGGAAGTGAAGCAGTCTTAAGGTCTTCGAATCGTTTATCAGTAAAAATACACAAAACCTAGTTATCATTATAAGAATCTTTATCCGGTCGGTTGGCTAAAACTACATATTCTACAGGAAGACATTTGGTTTGAAATTTCATAAAACCCGTCCATAGAATAAAAAACATCATTAAAATACAAATTCACAAATATCTGCATTCCAATGTGCATTTTTACTAATAAAACAGAAAAAATTTGTTCAAATAACTTTATTTTCTTCGCTTCCGGGAAACCCCAAGAATCAAGGATCTTGTACTCTATCATATCAATCGGGTCAGCTAGTAATCATTTAATCAATTATTATGAAAATAATAATAATAATTTCTACCACTCGCTACACACACTATCTTTTACTATGAAACAGAAAACAGAAAAAAACGGATTGAATATTTATCACTAATTGTGACGTCGATCAATAGGTTTTCCTATCAAATCAATAAACAAAATGAAACAGACGAACATCTTTATACTTTGTCCAGTGAAAAATCAGTGAAATAAGGAAGAAAGACCATTCAGAAATAGGTTTTCCTTGAAGCTACTAGAGAGCAATTTATGAAGCCTAAACACAGGAAACAACAACATCAGGAAAATCTAAACATGAAGTTGGTAGTTATATTGTTTGTGTGTATATGAATTTAACAGTATTTAAGGGTTGAAGTAAAACAATTGTGCGTAAAAGTGAAAGTATGTACTTAAATAAATACATAATAGTGACGTACTAAGAGGATTGTATGGTGCTAATCTTTCCATTGAAAAATCTATCATCCTGTATTCCGACCGACAAACTTTTAGTTTCTTTTGTTGGCACTCAGAATGATTTATCCACAGTTTTATGTAAATTCATAGTCATTCAGAAATGCTCAGGGATGTTATATGGTCCTTTAATTATATCCATCGTCATAACTATATTTCCTCAGCTTGAAGATTTCTCCAAATACTCTACTCACTAGATTGGTCCATTTTAGTTTACTATTTTGGATACTTGTTGAATAAAATTCGATCAAAAACAACGGCTAAATATCCTGATAATAAATTATAGGATTCCGACAACATCATCAAACGTCTTGACCACCTATTTTATAACCATACAAACATTACAATTAGGCCACCTGCTTTGGAGTTGCCTAAACTGAATAATTACGAATGCTAATCGTATTGTATTCATACACTATTATAAAATGGTCACACATTATCGAGATACCAAATACTGGGAAACTCCAACAGAAACACTTCAGTTCTCTCCACATCTTCCTTTAGATCTATCGTTTGATGAAATGGGAGCGGAATATTCTGGAATTCAGACACCTAATATATGATGGATGGGAAGGTAGTTGCAGCTGGTGAACTGGTGGAAAACTTCAATGATTGAATATGAGTGATAGATATTGACTGTTAGAAACAGTTTTAAGAGTATGTTTTGAAATTATGTTAAAGCGATAATTGTTGTAACGTCTCACATTTGGTGCTAGGAATTCTATGCTGCACCAAAAATTTATAGCACTGAATAAAGTTATCATCGCTATTTACTTTCCGGTAACTGTTCACAGCACACGAACCGGCCGTCAAAATTCATGAAAAAAACGGTTATGCTCTACAATGGAGCCTAAAGTTTGGTTTCCAATAAAGCCGAAACGAAAATATGATGATATGAATAATATAAGGATATATGTCTCTACCTATATATATATATATATATATATAGATCATAAAAATAATACTAATGAATCCATTTTTGTAGGCATAGAACAAACCTAATAGATTCTTTGTATATTACTTTTTCAACTTCCGTTGTCTTCTAACAAAATTGCATTCATGACTAGTAAACAAACATAAGTTGTCTGCTTTTGGATGCTAATTAATGGTGGTTCATGTCTTTGTGTGTCCAATGACACAAAAGGTTGAAATAATGGTGAATCGTTTTTTTATTTTAATTTATTTTAAAACGTATTCAAAACTAGTTTATTTAAAAACTACAAGCATTATATATTTTTTCAAACACCGTATTTTTATATAACTCCCAGATAAATTTAGATAAATTTACTGAATTTAATGTATACAAACCTATTAACAAGATGAACTTAATCATTAACTCATTATATGTGAAAATTACATTTGAAATATTCTGAGCGATTGAAATTTAACTAATCCCAACGTTTTGTCCAGCTAACTTGTCTGGACTTCTTCAGGGTAATAATCAAATTTCAATCGCTGAGAATATTTCAGATATAATTTTAACATATAATGACTTTTCTATACTCGGCGCACAATTTCTGTCAAACTATTCGATCTAATCTTGACGAATATTCGTATTAATCGTTAACTGCTTGTGAGTTTTATTGCGTCAACTGCCTATATTTTACTCGACTTGTGTATAAAGATGTACATATTAACATTTCCTTAGGTATTTTAATGAGTCAACGTCCGTTAATATTCAAATTTGAGCTAGTTTAATCCAATATATGAGTTAAAAGTAATGTACTGTTATCAATAATAAAATTTCTTGGTTTTTTATTCCTAAAATATCCATAAAAGCATATTTTACCGCTAATATTCTATGAAATTTAAAAGTGTGAATTATAAGACGCTTAATTAACAAAGGAATAAAGCAGGAATGTTTTAGAAATTCATGGCATAAATTATCTATTAAACTTCATTTCTCAAAAAGTTTTAAAACTTGTGACCAACTTACGTACATCTTTAGACCGGTTTTCTGAGTTTAACATACGGTTAACGCACAAACTTTCTAAAAACAAAATGGAAATAACCAGATATAAATGTCGCTTTTATCCACAAAAACAACGAAAATTCGTCTGTACTACAGAATAACTACAGTTGTTTACATTATTCGTTGCATTATTAAAAATATTTGTGTATTAACTATTGAAATTTTTGAAGGGAACCACGGAAAAAATACTAAAAACAAAATGGCTTTGCCTTTTATTCTTTCATTAGTTGAATAAACTAACTACAAGACAAAAGCGTGCTTACATTCATGTAGTCAACTCGATTTGATGTGAGGTCAAGGTTTTCTACTTTCCCCAAGCACCTTTAACTTGATTGATTTAGTAAATTAACAAACCTTTCTCAAATTCTTTCGTTTCGTTTGACCATGAGATCACACAAAACTTTTCCAAACTTCGATAGTTTAAGTTCCAAGAATCAGCTTGGGATGGAAAATTTTTTACCCTTCAACTTTGGCTTTACTGGTGCTATCATTATGATCGTATTAATATTATGTTAAATATGTCTAAACTTAGAGGAGCTACAGTTAATTAGCCGAGTATTAGCACGTGATATGCGTGTTATTATTATAATTTGACCGACAGTAATTACCTTATTCTTAACTGGAGTCTGGTATGATATATTATTCAGTAAATGGTTTGTTTCTAGAATCCGATGGCTTACATAATGACTTATTGGTGGTATCAAACAAAACTAGTGGGCATATCTGATAACCCTTCAATAAACAGCAGAACCACACTAAAGAAATCAACAGGAACAAAATCTTTTACACTCTGCCAACTATCTAAAGCTGTTCAACACTTGAAAAATTGCGCTACGGTACTGAGTCAGCAATTAGCCAAGACAGTGAAGTTTGGCCATCAGAAGCTACTTAACCGTTATAAATACGTTATAAATACAAAGATAACACAAAAATGGTAATTCATGAAGTTTCATTAAGTAGAGATCTATTTGGATCATAACATTTTTACATCGGTTAATATGAATCGGTCTAGGTGTGTAGAGAAATGTGGTTAAAATGATTGTCTAAAAATGATGTCTACATTTATTATCTTGAAATCTTTGACCATTATTCTGGTTACCTACTTGCATGAAACTTGAGTCCTTGTAACTTTTAATATACATTAAAATCCACTGTTGAAGGTTAACTGTAGCTGCTACTTTTTCCTTAAGTGCTAATTATGACTCCATGCTTTTTTACTAGACCGGATACATTTGCTCTGCAAAAGATTTGATGGTAGCCTCATATTTAACACCGATTAGAATGATTCGACAGATATTTTGAATGTGTTTCACTCACTAGCTTTTCTACATAGTGGGATTTTGTCAAACCAGTATCAGTAAATCTCACTTGTATGTAAGCCAGACTTGCATGTAATTCAGTCTTGTATATATTTTTAGTTACAGAAAAGATAAGTGTTATACCATGAGTCACTTATATATGCACTCCTTTTTACCACCAAGAGATTTATCAGATTAGAAATAATACAAAATCGAAATAATTAAAGCAAATACTCCACAACAAAGTAGCCAACTCCGATGTGGTGTTTTAGTCCTATTATGGGTGGTAAAAATGGCATGACGTAGCACATAAGCAAATATTATCTTGGAAGTTTAATAATTTTCAAGAAGACATCCAAAAGTGTGTATCGGGGGCCTTAACACCACTTTTAGATGATTCAAACAATTCGTTCTGGATCTTATGAGCTGAAAGTATGATTTGTGTCATGAAAACACTTACTCTTGGTAATGCATTCAAGTCATCATTAATTAGCTCAATAAGAAACTCTTCTAAAAAACACTATGTATTACTCAAATTACATTTGGGTTTGATTAGGTACTGATAACTTTTAAGTGACATCTGGTCAAGTAGTACAGCTTTAATACAGGGACTTTACAAAATGTACATCAGCAATATTTTCATCTACTTGCCTAGTGACCTCGTTTTTAAACCCAGAAACAGTGGCGAGGACATTTTTTGAGTAATTTATCCCTCCTTGATTGAGTTAATTATATTTTGTTGGATTTAAATCATAAATTATTGCCTAAAATGTCAAAACTTGGTAATCTCAGAGGCAAATATCTTTATAATGATTATAGACTTACCTTTCAAATGTAAATTAGGCTAAAAGAATCCTATAAACTATTTGCTTTCTTAATGTACAGACAGTTTTGTAAAGAATGATCAAATGATTAAATAGATATACTGAGGTTTGATAATTTCACGACGGAGTAAAGAACTAGTGAAAATTTATTTTTACAGCTAGATGAAAGAAAATAGCTACTTTTTGAAGAACAAAAAAACTAGTTTTTTTATTAAAGGTGTACTAATTCTTATTATCTTTTAAACGTCTCGGTTTCAAATTATTTTACAGTTAGATAAGGTAGTCTAACATAGTTGTGAATTTGGTCTAAAGTTATGCATCTTTCACCTAATGGCGGTGACAGTAAATAAATATTTAGGGTACATAGTTCTGTCAGTCTTCGACATCGATACTGACCCCATTAGTCTTACTAAAATCACTCTAGCTGGGGAGTACTCGGTGACGCAGCCGCACCAGATTACGAGTGGGTACACCGTGCTTCGCATCCCTTGCGGCTAATAGCCATCTCAAACCAAACGATTCTCAACACATTGACAATCTTCCGGAACTATCTTCGCACTCATTCATTTCTAACTTTTGATTTGACTGATTTGGTATCCTTCAATTATGAAGGTGCTACAGACAAAAGCGTTATCAAACCCTGAATACCTGTGGCGTTTTTATGACTTTTACCTGCTAGGTAGAGGAATTGCCCTTCTTTCAAACGAAAATGCTTGATCGAATATATGCTTATTCATAAAAATCCATTTACTTACAGTAAAATTCATGCCTAAAGCTCAATTTTCACAGTGTTAGAATGCTATTAATCAGGTTGTTTAGCCAAAACAGCCACCGGTTCGCATAGAGGTATGTTTACCACTGTAATAAACTTGAATTAACTGGTTAGTGAAACCAGACTTACATCATATGAATTGACTATGCAAGTGTATCTGATAGGTGGGTGGAAACGGTCTAATGGTTTTATGAACTGACTGATAATTCTTATAAGACTATAGTAATAATAGAAAAGGATGAGGCTACGTTTGTTAGTGTGGTTTGCAGTGGATACTAAAGTTCTGTGACGAGAAACATTAGATACAGGATCGTTCATCTTATTTAAACGCTGTACTTCAAGTCAATCAAGAGCAAATTTAAAACTGAAAACAAAACCTTACCCAAGTTAGTTGATATATCACAAATACATCAGAAGTTCGACAGCAGGGTGCGGTTTGTTGTAAAACATAACAATTCGTTTGATCAAGTAAAATTTTAATATTTCAGTTGCAAAATGAATCTTTATGCTTGGCTTGTTGTACGGATTTTAACGTAAATTAAATTTACAGTCAAACCAATCTTGGATAAAGATTTATTATTAATAAAGTTCACCGGTCTGCTCAGATTCTACTCACAAAGCTATAATTTAGAACTACTTTCACTTCGAATACAATGATTTTGTGTGTGAATATCGAAAAATAGAAAGTCGTATCGGCAAAATGTAAATGGATTTACTTTAGATAATAAGCGTTACTTCTGAATAACGCCCATCCAGTCACAGAAAATATTTTTGTGCATTTATATGCATCACCAATAACACTGTTAATTTTGCTCCTTCATTTTTCTAAAAACATCATTTCAAAGTTATAAATAACAAGCAAACACTACTTCCTTCATAATATTTTGCGGTTTTTGCAAAGCTAGTAGTGGCTTCTGAATCGCTTAAGTTATGTTTTTTTCTGTTGGCACCAGTTATAAGCTTTATTTTTGCAGCATGGTTGTTGCAGCGGGTAAGGATCTATTAGCTCTGAATTCATGTAGGTACATAAATTGTTTGAAGTTATCAAGAGCAGATCATTTATAAGATGACTTTAGAAATAGTTGTGACATAGCGAGATTTATTTGAGTACTTTGAAAGGTTTAAAGGCTACTGACGGTTTAAACGGCCTACTGAGATTTTAAGGGGACAGTTTACTTACTGTATCGGTATAATACTAGCCAAAATACGTACGTATATCTATACATTATTATATCTTGTCGGAAACGGCTAGCATCAAATAATCTATCTTCATGTGATGGCCGATAACTGAGACTGTAGAATGAGTTTTTAAGTCAAATACAGTATTCCGAATCTGGTTCATCATTTAATTGTTGAGTGACAAAAACGGCAGTATAAATGTCTAGTGTAATGCGACCCGGATTAATGCCAGGCAGAACTAAGGAAGTAAATTATCAAAATTCCGAATAAACTACTAATATAATACAGATAAAAATAACTCGTCGTTTTAACTGGCTAACCTTAAACAGGTCACTATGTTTAAAAGACCACCAGTTTCTTTTTATCAATGAAGGTCAAAGAAGTGCATTTTAAGTTATCTTCGAAAATAGCAGCCAGTATTAATAGAGCCTTAGATATAGCTTGAGTCTCTTTCTTCTAACAAGACGTGACAAAAACTACCTAAATACTTTGTGTTAACTCAACTTTTCTTGGTTTATTGATAGGATTTGAAATTGCGCTACAGTGTTTTCTTATCCAGCTAGAGCGATGTATGTGGTAAGTATCGATGTCAGAGACTGACAGAACTACTTGCTTTGAGGAATTTTCACGGCTACAGTGTATCAATATTACGCGTAGCTTTTAAGCTTTCTTGTGTCTGACATACCAATTTAGACTATTCATAAATGTGAAAGGAGGTACTATACTCCATTCAAAGAAACTAATCTCTCTATTACGTGGTTATATTTTAGTGACAAAAATTAGACTGGATCATGCACTTTTATACCAGATTTATGTTGTACATGATGAGAAAATAATAATAATCAGAAAATAAACGCAAAATGCCTAATCCAATCTTATTTAACGACATTAACGACAAGCTTTCAAAATGTTAATAATAATAATAATTTATTCTCAAATAACAGTTTGTTACATAAGGCATGCCAGTTTACAGGCAAGATCAAATCGATACAAATGATACAATATCCACTGTAGTAAATTACATAGCTGGGTTGATAATTTATAAAATGTGAATGTAGATGGTTTAAAACAGTACCGCAGTTAGCGCGCTTCATGAAAGTTGCGTTGCAAATGTGCAACTGATGGTCAAGGATAGGTCCATTGAAGGTAGGAGCTTCTAAATGTCGCAACCTTATGTCCATTTGGGATGTCTAAGGCTTTGAGGATGGTGCAGGATGAAACCACCCGTTCCATATCACAAGGGGGCTGAAAGATTCAGATTCAGATTTGTGTAGTAAGGACAGAAGGCCTACGGCCTATGTTATTACTTTTCTAGTATGCTTCGGTGAGTGTCCAGTCTTCTCTTGAAAGAGTCAATTGAAAATGCGGATACCACTGCTTCAGGTAGTAGGTTCCAAGTATTGATGACTCGGTGTGAAGACCTGTATGCCAGGGGTATTTTGTTCGTTCTTGGCTTTTCTACTCGCCTGCTATGTCCTCTGAGGTGCCCCGATCTAGTGGGAAGAAAGAGAGAGAATAAGTTAGGTCCGAAATCATTTCTCAGTATTCTGTACATCAATATTAGATCTCCCCTTAGTCTGCGATAGGACAGAGTAAAGAGGTTCAGTTTTTCAAGCCGCTCTTTATATGATAAACCCCGGAGTTCCGGAATTGCACGCGTAGCTGCCCTCTGTACCTCTTCTAGTATGTCTGAGTCACCTTTTAAACAGGGGCTTGCAGCCTGAACACAGTTCTCTAACTTAGTTCTCACTAAGGATGTGTATAATGTGGTGAACATGGTAGTATCAAGCTTAGTGAATGTCCTTTTTAAAGCCCAGAGGGTTCGAAACCCCTTAACTGCGACCTCCCGGCAATGGGCCGTCGTCTTAAGATCATTGCTCACTGTCACCCCTAGGTCCTTATGAGACCGGACTACGGGTAATGACACATCCCCTATGTTGTACGTATTAACCTTTGAATCCCCCAAGTGCATGTAGACACACTTTTCCGAGTTGATAGGCATTAGCCACTCTTTAGACCAGTTTATCATATTATTTAAGTCCGCCTGAAGAGTGAATGCGTCTGTGTCTCCAGTTATTACTCGCCAAATTTTTACATCGTCAGCGTATAATAACATTGGAGACTGTACTATACTTGTAAGATCATTAACGTACATTATAAAAAGTAAAGGACCTAGGACGGAACCTTGGGGTACTCCACTAAGTACTGATCTCCAGATGGAGCACTTGGAATTTATTCTTACTTTTTGCCTACGACGTACTAGGAAATCCTTAATCCATTTTAAAAGAGGTCCGCCAATACCAAGGTTTGCCAACTTCAATAGCAGTCTATTAGTTGGCACCTTGTCAAAAGCCTTACTGAAGTCTATGTAGACAACATCCACTGAGTTTCCGTTGTCTAGCGCATTAATCCAGAGCTCCCTAGCTATAAGGAGGTTCGTTGTACAGGATAGACCCTTTCTAAAACCATGTTGTGCCATGTTCAGCAAGTTATTGGTTTCCATAAATGCTGTTATGGTCCGTTTGATTATCCTTTCCGGTATTTTAATTACAACACTGATGAGGTTTACGGGTCTGTAATTTGATGGAACTTGTCGTAGACCAGTTTTGTGTATGGGAGTGACGATTGCGTCCTTCCAGTCCATAGGTAACACACCTTGGTCAAGTGACATTTTGAATATCACAGTCAGTGGGGCTGCGATATATTCGGCAGTATGTCTCAAGATTTTAGGATGTAGTTCATCTGGTCCTGTTGACTTCTCCATGTTTAGGGTGCTAAGAGCCTTAAGCACATCGTTTTGGTCGAAGTCCACGGTGATCAGCTGGTTTGTTGACTCTGTAATTGGGTCTGGTTCTTTTTCTAGAGGAGGTTCCTGAGTGAAAACTGCCCCAAAGTAGTCAGCCATAACCTCAGCTTTTTCCTGATTTTCCTCTATCATTTCAGATTCACTTCCTATTTTAATTAGGTTGGGAATCCAGTGATGAGTCCTTGTTCTGTAGTTTATGTACGAGAATATCCTCTTGGGCTGCTTGAGTGCAGATTCTGCCAGCTGCATTTCGTATTTTCTTTGCGCTTCCCGAATTTTAGTTATACACACGTTTCTTATCGATCTGTAGTGTTCCATCGTACCTGCTGTGCCAAGGCGGATGGCAACATCCCAGCATTTCTTCTTTTGTCTTAGTAAGCGTCGAATATCCCGCCCTAACCAGGGATGTCCGTGCTTCTTTTTCTTTGGGACAGTCCAGGGTATATATGGTTGAGTTACCCGATTGTATAACTGTCTGAATAGAGTCCATGCCTCTTGTACTGATGCCTTTGAGTCAATTTCCCAGTTCTCAGCCGATGCTGCGGAGTCGATTGCCTGCATATCTGCCTTCCATATGTTAGGACGGGCCGGCGCAATTGTTTGAGAAGCAATTTCAGCCATGAATTTGAATAAGATGACTGCATGGTCACTTCTCCCAAGTGGTGGGAGAAAAGCCATTTGACCAACGTCCTCACCGTGTGTGAAGACTAAATCTAAAAGAGAGGAAGAGTTTCTTAAGTCGTATCTTGTGGGATCTCTAATGTGTTGGAATAATGCTAGTCCAATCGAGGTTTCTAACAGTTTGGAGTCGAACGACGATATAGATGACTCTACTTCTAAGTTAACCCAGTTTATATATGGTGCATTAAAGTCGCCTACTACAAGGCTTTTACCGTTGTTACACCAGGACTTAAGTTTACTGAGGAGAAAATCATCTGTTACACATTCTGGACTGCGATAAACTACAACTACTTCAATATCTTGCCTTCGGCATTTCAACTTATATCTCACCAGTTCACATGTCCCTGAAACATGTACTACTGTCTCAGCTAATCTTATGGTTAGGGTACTTTTCGTGTACACAATAACCCCGCCTCCCCTTCGGTTTAATCTATCAGCCCTACTGGTTATGAAACCAGTCAATTGGATTTCACTATCTAATACTTCTGACGTTAACCAAGTTTCCGAGACAGTGATAACGTCCGGTTTTTCTTTATCCACCACTGATTTCAGCTCCGCCATTTTATTTAGTAGGCTGCGAGCATTTGTGTAGCACACTTTTAAGTCTGTGGAGAGCTTTCCCTTGCCACCCAGAGTGGCTTGAGGATCGTTTTGCTCCGAACTTTTACAATCTGAAAACCCTTAAGAACGAGGTTTCTTTCACCGTTTCGGCGACGCTCGTTTATTTCCGCTTCTGCAGTCCTTCTCTTAATACGATCAGCTAGGCTGAGGTCCTCACGGACATATATTCCGGATCCAATCAGTTTACGTGAATTACTTAGAACCAGGTTCCTTTCTTCTACCGTGTTGAATGTAACCTTTAGGAGACGGTTTTTCTGAGGACTTTCGGAATCCACCTTTTTTCCTATTCTATAAAACTTGCAAATACTAACTCCTGAAACTGTATCTGGGAGTAGTTTACTTAATGATGTCTTAATATGATTGAGATCATGTTCAAATCTTGCCTTTGGTTCAGTGTCTGAAGATTCTCTTATCTTATGAAAAATGACTGATCTCTCAGAGAGATCTGTCTTTTCACGCGGTGAGGATTTTCCTCCTGATAAAGTCCCTTCCAATGTCTTGCTGACCAGCTGCGTTTTGCTTACAGCCTTTTTCTTCTTATTTTTTCTTCTTACCGGAGTCCATTTGTCATCACTCAGAACAGCCACATCTGGACTATGTGGAACGGTGACAGTTTTATCCGGATCTTCTATTTCGACTGGAGGTGTATGACTGCCGATGTCAATATCAGGCGACACTTCATTTCTCGTTAATGTCAACGGAGATTTCACGTTCCCGTCAACCGCAGTCAGGTGTTTAATGGGTCCAGTAGCAGCACTTACTACACTGACACATTATTCATCGTCAGTACTCCTGTTATCAGTGCTACCGCCATCGTTTTTCTTGCAGGCCAAAGCCAATAGGCCCATAGCCTCCTGTATTAGTACCTTTTTATCCGTACAGCAGAACACACAAAGCCAATGCGAGTTAGGCTTCGAGCATCTTTTGTAAGCCGTCGGACTTAGTCGTGTACACATTTTGTGATACCACTTTTTACAGTCGTCACACTGCATTCCCTCCTCAACGGAGAACAAACAATTTGGTTGCCCACATTTGTGAGTCTTACCAAACATTGTAATTCGATTGAAAAAGTTTAAAAACAAAAAACGATAACAATGTGAACACAAGTCTTAGTCAAGGACTAAAAACAGGTACCCAGTACGAAATGTAGCAAAAAATTTCAAACTTTAACCAAAGAACTCTTAGTTAAAGTAGACCAAGAATGCTTTTTAGTGCAATAAGTACCAAAAGCAAGTATAATCACAACAAGTACAAAAATCACTGCCCTTTTTGAAATTAGCGCATCCAGAGGGAGCAAGTAAAAGAAAACACGAAAGGCAGAGTAGCCAATATTCATGAA